CCCCAAAACCCCAAAACCCCAAAACCCCAAAACCCCAAACGACGGTTTAGTAGTTGAAAATGGGGAAACTATAGGACTATATTCATATATAGCCTTAATGCCAGAAGGAGGCTAACCTAATAAATTAGCAAAATGAAATGTACCCTTTTGTGTTCCACTCTATTCATCGTGTGTTATGAAAAGACTTACTCAAAAAATTACTGCTTGCTTTCTATGTGTACTTCACTAGAAAACTTCTGACTCCATATAAATTTCTAAGAGAAGCCTGGGAGGGCTGGATGGCCTGAAAATTAAACAAAGCTATAGACGTAATCATAAAACATATCAGAGTGTCCATTTAGCCAGCAGAAATAATTTTAGTATCATTGCCAGAATCTTCTCATTTTATTGAGAATTATAAAGACTTTATTTGGCTGAGGAAAGTTCAGGAGAATATAGTAATAATGTATTGGATGATCACTATGAGCAAGAGAAAAGAGAGGAAATGATAATTAGAGCTCTCTTGCTTCTCTAAGGCTTTAGGATGCTCGATTCTGCTGTTTTCCATTAAGTTTTCTTTACTTGATGAAAAATTCATAATTCATATAAATAAATTTGGCCAGTTTAGAGCTGTAATCCCCAGAGTAATTAGAGCCGAATTTATGAAATCAGACAGTAGATCGAGAGCTCTTAGCAGGGCCTCGTTACCCACAAAACTTGCATGGAACAAAAAGACTGGTTGATTCTTAAATATGAGATTCATAAATATTTAAGTAGGTGGAAAGTTTTGAAGTAATCCTTGGAAGGCTTCAGCAATAGGAGAATTTCTTCAATGACTTTTAAAGTCTAGCTTAGCATGAAAAGCTAAAAGAAGACCAGGAAATCAATATTTATTAAATTTTGGGGAATGTTTACATAAAGTCAGAATATTCAATAAAGATAGAAGACTATTAAATCATTACTTTTTTACCTAACTCAAAGAAATTTTGCTCGATGATGGGTCTTTATAGGTTAAAGAGGCTATACTTTAATGACGAGAGTCCTGGAGCTTGAATTAAGGTGTTAGCAATATATGAAATCTTGACAATTTTCATAATCAGTACTTCACTGCTATGAATTTCTGAAAGTTCGATAATATTACTTCTAACTGATTTTTAGTAGCCTCCTAATTGATCATAGTCTCACTCAGAGCTCTATTTGACAGACTCTAATATGTCCTCCATCGTCTCTTCTCTTCGTGCAGCAGTCTATTCTAAAATCGGAGACTTCAGTCATGAAGTTCAGGGTTTATAAACCAGGTTGTAATGTCTTGATTGCCTATTTTGTCAGTGAAGACGCTTCATAAGTTCTCTGCTAATATTGGACTCTTAGTGCTACTTGTGTTGAAGGGCTAAATCAATTTAAGTTAAAATGATGGGTCAATAGATCTAAACTCTTTTAGCATTATCATTAGTAGTACAAAGCTTTAACTAGAGCTGCTTCCTGTTCACCCCTATTGAAGAGGCATCAACAAGCAGTCTTTAAAGATATACTGAAATATTGAACTCATTAGAAGTTTCCATTATTAAATAACCTGAGAAGGTAGACTCTCGTAATTCAGGTCTTAGACTTCCTATAGGAAGATTTTAAAGCTGAAGATGAGCTATAGGGTTGGCTTGGGAGTTTTCATAGCTCAGGCCATTTTAGCAAATTAGTAGAGGTATATTAAGCTAGGGCTTCACCGACTTGTAGTGGCTAGGGAAAGAAAGACTGGCATTAATAAAAGCAAAAAGAAAGATGTTTGAAATTGATTTATAGTTAATTTATACAAACACCATCCTCATGTGTATAGACTCACAGATCAGTGAGAGCAAAACTTAATTTAATATTTTCTATTCAAGACTTAATATTACTTCCCATATCCAACTTAAGCATCATCAAAATGACAAAATTCAGTAATAAAGATGAAGGTCTTCTAAATCTTGCTCTGTCCTTCATTTTTGTCTAGCAAATAAAGACTTCCCCCAATGAATCAAACTTTTAATAAAATCTTTCACAGAAATGTGTTTGAAGTTTTCGTATTTTCATATTTTAACTATCAACTCAAGATATGATCTCGGGTTTTAGCCCAATAAACCCTTAGACAGTGCAGAGATATCTGTAAACAAGTCCAGAGCATCATAGCGGCTGTCTAGTGATTCCCAGCATGAGGATCTAAGTGAGTTTAAAAGTAAACCTAAGTTTTCTAACCTAGATCTAGGAGTTTAAAAATTTATGCTCCTGTGAAACAATAGTAGAAGAATTAAACCAAGAAATTTTGAAGAGACAGTAAGTTTAAGACAATTATTTATGAGTGCCCAAGTGCTTGTTTAGGTTCCCTTTCTGAGTGAACCTTCTGTCACACTTTGGGCAGCTATAAGGCTTCACTCCGAAATGCATCCTGCAGTGGTCGAGAAGGTTCCAGCATCTTTCGAACTCTTTGTGACAGCCTCCTTTGAACTGGCAGATGTACATTAAGGTCTTCTTGCCAGTCACAGGATGTTCTCTTTCTCTGATCTTGTAGTCGTAGTTATTCAGAGACTTCAAGTAGCCAAGGTTGGTCTCAGTCAGAACTTTGCTAGCAACATAAGCTTGTTTTGGAGTCAACCCACAAGAGCAAAATTTATGATTGGATGCATTCATCTTTATTGAAGATGATTTCTTTGAAGTCTTCTGAGGCTTTGGCTGAGTTAAAACAGCAGGATCCATGCCTCTATTTGTATCTTGATGGACAGTCTTAGTAGCCAAGGATGAAGAATGATTTCTGTTAGGTAGACTAGCATTGCATCTAATATCTTGGCTACTTGGAAATTTTAAACTTTCAGTTTGGAACGAGTAGACTTGAGGGGTCGCAATGCTGTTATAAGATCCATTTAAACTCATTGGAATATTATCAGCAAAAGAATTACATGCTTGCTGATATGAAGAGCCATAAACAGGTAGTTTCATCTGCAGCCCTATTTCATTAAAAGTATGACTGTTGTCGGCATTCTCATAGTTTAATTGATATTCTGGGTACACCTGTTGAACCCCAAAAGCAAGTCCTGCAGACACAGTATTGAGCTGTGGTAAATTCTCTTGGGGAGCTTTCCAAAGAATATTTTGGGTCTGACTCTTGGCAAATAATTGCAGATTCAAAGTTTGCTGATCTTGATAAACTTCAGTTTTATGTAGAGACATTGTAATGTTGTTAATAATATTTAAGAAATATTATGTTTAGAGTTTCAAATATCCTGGCCTATTTAGGGGTTTTGGGGTTTTGGGGTTT